ATATATATATATATATATATATATATATATATATATATATATATATATATATATATATATATATATATATATATATATATATATATATATACTCAGAACATTGATAACTCATCTACTCATTCACATCCATCAGAAGAAGAAAATCACAATAGAAGTCAAGTCACAAGCAACAATTGCAAGTGTAAACACCATAGGTGTGATTGAGTAGTATTAGTTGAGAACAATGTGTGAGTGGGGAATATTGAAATCAGTGGGGTTTGGAAACAGGATTACAGTAAGACAAAGCACAGATATATTGTTATGCAAAAGTGGTTTTACCACCTTGTTTTTACCCCTAGCACTAGACGATTTTACTTGTTAGGGAGAGCAATGTTGGATAAACATGTAGATAGCAAAGTTGGATAAACATGTAGATATAGCCAGATTCTATATTCATCAAAAGTTGTTGATTGCTCAACTCAGACGACTGAAATATAGTGAATAGAGTGATTCAACATGGCGGTCATGCCAAGTGATAGCTCCGATAAAAATATATTAAACCAACTCCAAAATAATTTCTTTAACGTTCAAGACAAGTACAAGGTGCTTGTTGAATATGACAGTAGCAATGACAGAGTGAAATGGAACGGTAACTTTGAGAATTTGAAAACTTTTGTGGCCGATTTGTTTGGCGAACAAAGCAAGTGGATTTCTCCTGGCGGGCGAGCAAAATCCTTTCGCAGTAGCCAAGTCTCAATTACCTGGTACCCTCTCAAAAAGTCACTTGTGTTTCAAGGACAAGCTGGTATTAAATTGAAAGATTTGATCATCGGTTTGGCTGGCTCAAATATGGCGAAAGACTGCGGAAATATTACTCTGAGTAGCGTTATAGATCAAGAAAATTTTGACCAGCTAGCAGGAAACGTTACTAACATTGAGTTGTCCGTCAAACATATTGGTGTTGCAATGAAGAAACTCGATAAAGATTTCCAGCTGATGGCAAACTATATAAAAGATCGCGACAGGAACCTTAGAGACACGACTCGTGATATTGGTGTTCAAACAGACTTTGACTTGGTAAGTGAAACGCGTGCCCAAAGCCAAACGGTTTGTTCTGTCTCGCATAGCGAACTCTCAACAGAATTAGAGGGAGCCAAGCTAGACATTGTTTTGATGGAGTCTAAAATTGTTTGTGGTCTTCTAACAAATACCCAAAAAATGGAACAAATTCGTGTTGAATTAGTTGATCAAAACAAGGCTTTAAGCAGCAAGGTAGAAGCTTTAGAACTAGACTTAAAAACCTGTAAATTAACCTACACGAATTGGAACAAAGGAACACAATTAATTACTCGAATCAACAATGTGGCTCAATTACACCTATGGGAGATCGGTCGATTAATTCCCAAATAGCGCCTAACAATAACACCAAGGTCGAGGCAAAGAT